AGACAAGGTCTCTCTCTGAGCCTGGAGCTCACCCATTTGGGATAGACTGGTTAGCCAGCAAGCCCGTCTCTACTTTTCCAGTGCTGGGATTACAAGTGTGCGATCACAAAGCCCAGCTTTTAACATGGGTATTGAGGATTCAAATTTATGCTTGCATGGAAGCAATTTACTGCAGCCATCTTCTCAGTTCCTGTGGTCACAACACACTCACTTCTGACTTGAATTCAGTGTTTTATATTTAGTCTAGTATCTTATTTATATTTCAGAAATGCTGGGTACAATATAAAATTTAGAAGCAAGTCAAAATATCCTGCCATAGTCTTAATAAAATATATTCTACACTAGCTGACATTTAATTATATACACTTAAAATTGAATGTAAAAACTATTCTACTTTTAGGTGTAGAGCCAAAAGAATTGAAAGCAGGGTCTTAGAGATATTTTGTAGATCCATGTTCACAGTGCCATTATTCATACTCGTTAAAATGTGAAGGTAGAAACCCTGTCTCGAGGGGTAAAAAAAAAAAAAAAAGTGAAGATAACCCAAATGTTTACTGACAGATGGAAGGATAAGCAAAATGTGATCTATCCATACAATGGAATGTTATTCAGCCTTAAAAAAATGGGGAAATTCTCACACATGCTACACAGAGAGCACTGTGTTCAGTAAGCCAGTCATATGAGGGTAAACACTACATGATAAGCATACTGCATAAGAAGCCTACAGTCATCAAACTTGGATTACCAAAACACACAACAATGGTCTCAAGAGGAGTGCACAAGCCTTACAGAGGGCAAGGTTTCAGAAGATGGAGACTTAACGGAGGGGTACGGTGGTGACTCAACCACTGTTTAAATATATTTAATACCACTGAACTAACTGTACACTGAAAAATGGATAAGAAGATTTTGTTATATGTTACTTTACTACACTAAGAAGAGGAGGAGGAGGAGGAGGAAGAAGAGAAGAAAATAGCAATTCAGAATGTAGACCAGGTGTGGATCATGCCCACATTCCCAACAATCCAATTGAGGCAGACCTCAAATTTAAGGCCAGCCTAGGCTAGGACCCTGTTTCAGAAATACAAAACAAAAACAAACTGACAAGCAAGCATAAAAAACCCCACAACTCTGCACACATTTTGCAACAAACTTTCTGATTGTACAATCAGATGTACTGATATTTGAGATGAAAGATCCACAAACTCAGATGTCACAGAGACAGAAATATGTGCTACTCTAAAATGGAATGTGGTGTGAGCACGGTGAAAGGTCAAAAAGTGCTAAAAAATAATACACAGTATTAATATTAACAACCACGTTTCATTAAGACCACAGATGTTTACAATTAACAAGCTCCTTGACGATTTTAAAGTAGCTATTGAACCAGGTCCAACCAGGTATTAAAGATATGTCAAGTGTACAAGACGGATATAAGTAACTTGACTTTGACCTCCATGGTTCAATACAAAAGATACTAGGCAATTTTTTTCAAGTTCTTTGTTAACCATCTGAGCTGGGGGCCACTGCACTATTAATGCAGAGTAATGAAGAAAAATGAGCAGGAGGGTCCAAGTGTGGGCATCTAGGAATGAGCTCAAGAGGACAAAAGGGTCCAATGCAGAAGAAGCAGGGCACCCTCCACCCACTCACAATTTCAGAACTGTCGGAAGGAGTCACAGCTGAATCAGGCCCTTCAGTGGTGGTCTGAGAGCTGTCACTGATGGGTGAGGAGGCCTGGGTCCCATCATTCAGGTCCATGGCAGGGTCAGATGGGACGGCACTGAACTGGCTGGAGCTGTGGCTCAAGATGTCCTCCTCATCCCCATCAGTAGCAGCACTGGTCAAGTCACAGCCCGACAAATCCACAGAGTCTGCTTGAAGTGTGTGCTGGGACCGTGGCTGCTCAGTGATGATGTCATGACCTACAGAACCAGGAGTGGAGACACCCGAAGAAGCAGCAGCAAGCTCTCCACCAATCTCACTCTTCACAGAGGCTAAAGACACAGAGAAACTATTTGTCAAATGGCCAGAAGAAACAGTAGATAGAAATCAAAGCTATGCAAAATGACAAAAAGTTCACTGTATTGAATGTTCTAACTATGAAACAGCCTGGAGCATAGTGAAGAAAAGAGTAAGCAGTACAGCAGAGCTGGCTGGAACAGGCAGACTTCTTATGGTTGCAAATATTCTCAAATGTGTCCCATCACAAAACTCAAATCCAAGTTCTTAAGCAACTCTAAAGCCACACACAGGATGTGTGTAACTCAGAGACAGCTGGGTCAGGGACACAAGGAAACTCCCAGAAACTCTAAACAAGCAACGATAGAACCAACAGTGAATGCACATCCCTTCAGTGTGGGCTTGCCTTCTTCCAAGTCCTGTTCATCTCACTCCAGGCCTAACCTTCGACAGGATAAACACACTCCACATTTTCCTAGTTTAATTTTGAAATTCCCACTTACAAACAATACTGTGTGAGATCAAACTCACTCAGTGCCCATTCTATAACCCAATATTTAACATTTATTCATCCTTAAATGTCTGGAAGGACTAGGAAAAAGAAAGTGGCGGATGTGCACTGCAGGAAATGAAAGGTGCTGATGGTGAGGAACAGTAGATTGTAACAATAAAAGCATGGCTTGTTTTATGAAATAAAACATTAATTACGAACACAAAATCTTCAAAAAAACATGAACAAGGGGTGAGCAGTGGCCTGGTAAAGGCAACTGGGTCACAGGCAATTGAGTTTTATACTCATCTTGGCAGGCCAAAGTTCTTGTTCTGTTGACTTTTTTATTTTGTAAGTGGGAGAGGGGGGGGCACTGACATTCTTAGGTTATCCTTCCCAAGTATCCTGGTCTTGTTTTTATTTACCTAAAAGTAAACATAACCAAAGCTGTTGGCATTTTATATAATCTTACATAACTACTTGCAAGGGTGGTTAATCAACTTTTGAATAGCCTAAAACAAAAAAAGCACATAGCCACACACATTGAACGTTACAAAAGCAGCTGAATTATAAAGCCCACTTTCAGGCTGGAGAGATGGCTCAGTGGTTAAGAGGACCAGTTACTCTTCCAGAGGATCCTTGTTCAATTCCCAGCACCCACATGGCAGCTTGCACCTGTCTGTAACTCCAGTTCCAGGGCTTCTGATACCCTCACACAGATATAAATGCAGGCAAAACACCAATGAGCATTAAAATAAATTATATATTTTTAAAAAGTCAGATTTTAATTAAAAAAAAAAAGGTCACTTTCTGAACAAGCCACCTCTGCCCCACAATGGCATCTGTAGGCTGAGGTGCCGAAAGGGGCATGAGAGGGTAGGTGGTGAATGAAGGCTGACACTGGCTGCTCATGGACAGTGACAACTACCTGCAAAGGCTGAGCTGCTGACATCTGACCTGGACTCCGAGTCATCTTCCAAGGCTTCTTCTTCTCCTAAGAGCACTTTGCCTAGAAATAATAAAACAATATTACTATTTAATTTTGCTAAAAATAAGAGGTTTTTTTCAAATAGTCAGGGAAATAGTCAGGCATGGTGATATACACTTTTAGTCCCAGAACTCGGGAAGCAGAAAACTATGAGTTTGAGGACAATCTGGTCTATACAGCAAGTTTTAGGCCAACTAAAGCTACATAGTGAGACTGTGTCTCACAAAACAAACAAAAATCAAATAAACATACATTCTAAATTGGAAATCACAGGCATATTTAATTTACCCTCATACAATTTATCCATCACGTGCTTTATATTACTACAACATTAAAGAATGAAAAGAGAATAACATTTAGAACACTGTAAAGCCAGTAAATCTATAGAGAAAAGGAGGCAGAAGCAATGACTACTGAACTATATCACAAAGTAATTTTTTACTGATTTTAATTGCTGTTACAGTTAAATAATTTATTATTACTTAATGAATGAGTAGCTTATGGCTGAAAAGGTGCAATTCTATCAATCAGCCCTTGGAATATCCATGGTCTATCTCTACTGGCAAATAAAAACTTGAATATCAAACTCTTACATATAAATAAGTCACTTTCATTTTATTATCTTTTTTTTTTTCTCCTCCTTCAGGGGTGTTTATTTCCCAGTCAGAAGAGAAGCAGGGATAGGCTCCTCTGCCTGTTGAGGCCTAGGCCTGGCAGACACCACACAGGGACCGGGGATGGGGAGGGGAGGCACAGGAGACAGCTCCCAACTGTGTGCACTTGGTCCCACCGTTTGTCCTGGCTGGGTCCGGGGAGGGCCTGCCCAGGGATGGTGGCACCAAGAGCCAGGGCAGAGGCATCAGGCCAGCTGGCCCAAATGGAGGCAATAAATACTGACAGGCCAGACACGAGGTTCAGGCCATAGGGCCAGGTGAGACAAGTAAGGCTCGGCTGGCTTGTCCCTCAGGGGCTCTCTGTGGGGACAGGGGCTTTGAGTGCTGCCTACAAGGACAGAGAAGGCAGAGGAATGAGGCACCCTATCCTGCCTCCGAGATGGGGCTGGAGGCATTGAGTTTTGGCAATTGACCCTCCCCTAGCTACTGGAGCCACCCTCAACCCTGGCCTTTGGGAGCGGGAACGAGCTGGCCAGGCCTGCAGGAAGCAACAGCAGCACACCCCAGGCCTCTCGGGGTGGGTCACCAGGATGGGGATGGCAGACAAGGCAAGGAGGGGGAGACCACATGCTCATGCAGACAGGGGAGTTAAGAGTTAGCGACGGCCCCCAGCACACGTTCCACATGTTAAGGCATCATGGTTAGACAGTGACTGACAGTGATGGATGACCTGGCCAGGGAGTGGTGGGGCTAGAGGACAGACAGACAGCCCTTCCCCATGCTGAGGAACCTAGCTCAGCTGGGGCAGAGACAAAGTTGGCTGGGCAACCCAGACAGTGTTCCATTCCATTCTAGAAGCCAGGGCCTGAGGAAGGGAAGACAGAGGGAACCTGGAAGTACACAGCAGATTGGAGGCCTAGGCTGGGACCCCTCCCCCACTGCACAGACAGAAGCAGCAGTGTGACTCTGGAGACCACAGGGGCCTGCAGGCAGGGGGTGGGGGAGGGGCAGACAGAAGAGCTGCCTGCCTGAGTGGACCAGGGAGGAATGGTGAGGGAGGGTCCTGTCAGCACTTTGGTTTGGGGTGGGTAGGGGTCTAGGGTGGGGCATGTCGGTCCTTCTGTCTGTCTGTCGCCCTGCCCGCCTCCCAGTTGGAGCTCAGTCCTTCCATTTCTTTTTGATGGTGAGATTCCACTCCCAGGACAGGTGGTCAGTCTTGTCATCATCTGTGAAGCGGGACTTGATGTTGTAACTGCCCCGAACAAGCATGCTTGGGGACCTCCTCCATGGGTGTCAGGAACTCATACTCCTCAGCCCGGGGTCCATAGCTCCCGACCATATAGTCAGTCTTGTCAATTTTGACCCCTTTCCTATATGTGTGCTGGATGTACTTCATGCCTGACACGATCTCTCTGTTCACCCGGAAATAGATTTTTATCCGGTACTCCACACCTTCCTTCAACACAAATGACTGTTTCTTGAAGCTCTCCAGATCACCTGTCAGGTCCAGTTCCAGAGGGCCTGGTGCGGTGCTACACACTAAGGTCAGGCGGGTCACAATGACGTTGGGGACATTGGGGTCTGCAGAGACAGCCACACGGCCCAGCGGGGCTTCCTTATACTTTTGAAGGCTCTCATCATCCTTGTCCAGTTCCTGGATCTCCTGGATGCTCTTCTGGGCTGGGGGCTTGTAGTTGACAGAGTGCTCATCTTCCTCATTCTCAGCCGCTATCTGGGCAAGCTGCTCAGCAGTGGGTTCCTGTTCTGCCATGCTCACCTCTAGCCTGGGACACCAGAGGCTCGACCGCCACTCTCGCGCTCCCTCCCGCACCAAATGACCTTTATTATCTTTTTATATTCTAGACTATAGCTAAGAATTGGGAGGACAAATATTTTCTTGTGAAGTTTTTAAAATATATTTCATAGTTTATGTTTAAAATTGTATTAGAAGGAAAAAATCAGCTTGTGTCTTTTGGTTATATTAGACACAAACAGCACTGAACACCACCACTATGGTTTGATCCTGATTGTCAGCTGGACTGAACTGAGACATGCCTAAGAGACTTCCAGAGAGGACTGACTGACTAAGAGGGAAGACAGGTGCTCAGTGTGGGTAGCACTGCTCACATTTTGAAATAAAGAATTAAGAATGAGGAACAGGTATATCCCCCTGCTTTCTGGTTGCAGTGAAGTGAGCTGCTCTACCACACCTCCCCTGCCATGATGGACCAAGACTCTGAGACTGTGGCCAAAAATATATCTTTCTCCTAAAGCTGTTTGTATCAGTTACTTTGTCACACTGAGGGAACTAAAACAGATCCTATAAAACTGCAGCTTTAAAGGCACAAGCTAATTAGCAAAGAGAACAGAAATCTATGCAAAATCAACACAGCAACTTGACATAAATACTAACAGAGCCTGTCATTAACAGAACATGTAGTTTATGAAATCAAATTAAGACTCAAGAACAGTGAATTTGGATGTTAGTAAAGCAGCTTCTACCCTCCAAGTCAGTAGTTGATGACTATGTTCTGGGAAGAGGTCCCTAGAGTAGATTACTTGAAGACATAAAAGACCTGCCAGGAGCTGTAGAGATGGCTCAGTGGTTAAGAGCACTGGCTGCTCTTCCAGAGAACCTGGGTTCAATTCCCAGCCCACTGTAATTCCAATTCCAAAGGACCTGGCATCCTCACACAGACATGCATGCAGGCAAAACACCAATGCACTACAAATAAATGAATGAATGAATGAATGGAGGGCTGCCAACAGAGAAGAGGCTCCTGGCCACCCCTGACCTTAGCTGAAGCCTACATGCTCCACACTCTGCTTTTATCTATCTTTCTTCTGGTAGATAAGGCTTGTCTTAGTTTGATTTTATACACACACACACACACACACACATATCACCATGACCAAAAGTAACTTGGGAAAAATGAGGGAAATGAGGGCAGGAACTGAAGTAGAGATCCTGGAGGAGTGCAGCTTACTGGCCTGCTTAGTCTGCTTTCTTTTAGCACCCAGGACCACCAGTCCAGGGATGGCACTGCCCACTGTGAGTGGGACCTTTCTGTATCATCAATCAAGAAAAGGCACCACAGGCTTGCCCACAGGCTTGCCCACTGGCTTGCCCACAGGCCAGTCTGGTGAGATATGTTCTCAAGGTTCCTTCTTCCAAAATGACTCTACTTTGTGTCAAGTTGGCAGAAAAACTAGCCAGCACAACACTTTTAATGAAGAATCTTCCAGTTACAACAAAAAGTTTTAAAATCACTGGTCTAAATAAAAAATTATCAGATTGAGGAAATAGTAGGAAGCAGAACTCATCTCAATAATATCACTTTGTCATCATTTCCGGACAAAGTAACTATGGAATAAGTTATCAGAGTGACTTCATCAAGTATCCCTAGATCTCCCCTAGTTTAAGAACAGAGTAACATTTCTTAGAATTCTTAGGGACTTTAAACATTTGCAGTGCTTTCTAAAATCTCAGGTAAGTGTTTCATACTATGCTGACTCAAACGTTCTGCTTTCTTTGTAAGAGTCGAGGTCTTGCCATGTAGCCCAAATGACGCCTGCCTCAGCCTCCAGGTGTGTGCTATAATATCTGGCTCCCCAATTCTTCAAGTAAATGTTCCCTTAATTCAGTGAGGACCAGAATGTTATTCCAGTTAAGAACTCATTCAAAAATGAGGTGTGCTGTAATCCCAGTAGTTAGGAAGGAGAGGCAAGAAGATTCTGAGTTCAAGGACAGCTTGTACTAAACAATGAGGCCCTATGTAGGGAAAAAAATAACAACAAACACCTCATTTAATATGGCAAATAATGCTCAAATGCTCAAATTATGACACAGAAAACAAATATATCTTTTAAGATTTTAAAATAAAAATGACAGCAATTCTTTCCCATGGACAACCATAATGTAAAAGAAAATGGCTCCTGCTACAAAATGAGCACGTGTATAAAGCTATCAGGTCATATCAAAACACTGTAATAAAAATAAACAGGTCAGAACATTCACATGTGCTGGGCAGTAGCAGCACACGCCTTTAATCCCAGCACTTGGGAGGCAGAGGCAGGCGGATCTCTGTGAGTTTGAGGCCAGCCTGGTCTACAGAGCAAGTTCCAGGATAACCAGGGCCGTTAAACAGAGAAACCCTGTCTCAAAAAAAAAAAAGTGACGTTACCTTTATAAAACAGTGTTACATTCTCTAAAGTAGTACTGAGCTCACCTGCATCTTTAAGATTTCACTGGAAAACAGCCAGACAAAGCAGCTCACTCATTATTAGATTACTGTTCTTTGGGGGGGCCACAAGGCAGGGAAACAGCTGCAAGAGCCTATGGCTCACAAGGTTAAAATATTTACTCTCTGGTCCATTGCAGGAAGTTTGCTGACTTTTGACCTCAAACATTAGAAATTATGATAAACAATTCTGATATAAACAATTTTTAAATGACAGAAAACTTCAGATTCCAGCAGTATTCACATACACACTCACTCTCCTGGAAGGAAATAAAAGCAGAGTCTAATGTGTTATGCAAACACAGAAACTGTAGTTCCAGTCAACACAAAACTCAGATTTTGAAATAATCACCTTTTTGCTTTCTTGAGAGAACAGGGCTGCACGAGGAACCCCCTCCAGCTGTAAATCACAGGAAGTGACAGAAGAAAGTAAGATAACAAGCTGCTAAAATCTCCAAGAAATTAAAAAATCCTCAAAGAGCTTGACTCAAATCCTAAAATGTGGAACATAGACATATTTACCTAAGACATGCTTAAACACCACGGTGTCACACTTAAAATGTGAAAATTACACTCATGTTCAAATTCAGGGTTCTAAAGCTATAATCAAAATGTCAAAAGAGCTCATATACATTACATTCTAAAAGCAAAATTAAAACTATAAGATCTTACATTATTTGGTCAACCAGCAGTCAGATATAAGCTTTCACTGGAAACAGTTACTAGAGTTGTTTTTGATATTTCTGTTCACTGGTTGTACAACATGCTTTCCACAAAAATAAGAATTCTTTTGTGCCAAGGACAACAGAAAAACATTTCCTGCTCATCGTCCAGGCAAACATTTAAGCCCACAAGGCCACAATCTGATTTCCCAGGCAGAAGATCTCTAGTATGAAGCTACAGTTAAGTCTAGGTCCTCAATGTGCATACTGTGGCAGCCATGGAAAGCCAGGGTTTGCAGAATGTATCAAAGCCTGCTAAATGCCAAGCCACTTCTGGAGGCTGGCATGTACAAATTCCTATCTGTCCCACCATCCTAGGGTAGCTCCAATCAGACAGGGCAGGCTGCCACTGCTTACTCTAGGGCCCAAACTCTTTGAGCATCTAGAAGAACAGAGAGCAGGCTAGAGAGGTATCTGCAAAGATTGGGAATGGGAAGGGTTCTCTAAAATCAGGATCCAAGGAGAAGAAAAATGCTAAATTCCCAAAAAAGACATAAAAATCTATCCCTAAAGATTCATCCCTGACAATCAAACATGAAAGTCCTGGAAATACTCTGCCTGATATTTCTACTTCAATGCACCTGAAGTGCAGGTGACAAGCCAGGAAGCCAGGAGACCAGGCTTTAAAGGTGTGGCCTCATTCTGTCATCTAGCTTTCTAAGCTGTAGATTTATTTGCAAAAGAAGAAAGACGCCTACATTGTAAGTTTGGGGAAGGAATTTAGGCATGGATGGCTTAGCACGCACAGCCCCATAAAGCAGCAGAAGGGAACAAGTGTTAGTTAGTGCACAGCTGGTTAGAGGACCTTGCTGAGAACGCACCTAAAAGTTCCACAATGCTCCCGCTGCGGCCTCGGCCCCTGTCCTCCTCTTGAACCACAGTGAGCTGCCCAAGACCACCTGGTGTGGTCAGTGCTTGCAGCAGTTCAGGGGGAGGGGTTCGGAAGAGCTGCTGCAAGAGCTCCAGAGCCCCTGTCACCACATTGTGGTCTTGGTGCTGCGTGTGATGCAAAGTCAGTTCATAAACCTAGAGTAGAAACACAGGTCTTCAGTCGTGTTTAAAATGCATTTCAGATTTTACTTTGTTTTCACCGGCTTTTGTTGGCAAAGCTGTGCCTTAATTTTTCCCTCTAAAGACCTCTTTATCACTTTTAGGGTCATTATTATCCACTATATTTTTTGAATTCCCATGATTTTTTCATTATTTTTCATTTCATCATATTAACTCCTTGGAAACACATAGAGTACTTCCTCTAGGCAGTAGTATACCAACTCAGGATCTCCATTTCCCAAAACTGATGAGTAGGAAAGAGAATAAAATCAATAGACACTGCTGTGGAAGCAGGTGGGGACATTCAACCATCAGAAATACGGCTCTGAAAGCCAGGGAGCAAATAGCCAGAAATTTTAAGGATGTCATTCAGATTTTCTTGGTGTTTTTAATATTACACCATACTACAGAAACAATGAGTTTGTCAGTTTTTTCTTTAAAGTAAGTAGGGGAAAAGAGCCCACAGGCCTAAATCATAATTTCAGATAACACGTAACTTTACAGTAAAAATATATCCTAAGAAATTTCAACCATACTTATAAAATCACTATTTAAAATTCACACTTCACTTGCATCCTGCATTTTTCCTAGCAAAGTCTGCCAACTCTATCATTAGTTGATATAAAACAAAAATAAAATAAAAACCATACATTTCTTTTTTGAAAGTCAGTGTAAAAGAATAAAAAACAAAGAGTAACAGCTTCCCAGGAAGTTGCCTTTAAACTTTGACGTTATCTTCTCTTCTCATGCTACCTGCACACACACACACACACACACCCCTAAATCCTGACTGGCAGACTGCTAGCTACAGCCACATCTGGCTTTATACTTGCTCTCCACT